TCTAAACCTTTTACTTGTTTATTTGTTTGAGGGGACTGGTCAATCTTAAGAAATTATGCTGAGTTAATTTAAAGCACAGCTTGTTCGTTATTTCACCGATCCTCTTTTGTCAACATTATTTATGATTCTTTCACTTGACGTTCCTAAACGCCTATATTATTTAGCTATAACTCGCACTTGTTATTTCTTCCCTCTTCCATTCACCAAAGTTATACATCTATAAGATAATTTACACATAAAATAATCTTTTTTATAATAGAGAGCCTTAAAACATACTTTTCACAATTCGGTGAAGTAACGGATTGCATAGTTATGAGAGATCCAAATACATCGAGGTCTCGTGGTTTTGGGTTTTTGACATTTGTAGATCCAAGCGTCGTCAATACCGTATTGGTTAAGGAACATCAGCTGGATGGTAAAATTGTAAGTGGTCAACTGAGATATTTAGATTTTATAGTTTGCAAATATATTTCCATCATATAAGGGACAACAGAGAGATATCAAGAGGTCCAAATGATTGATAGATGACGAAACTCGAATGGAGCTTATAAATTAATGTGCATGATTGAATCATACTTTCGATTTCCAATGTTATTGCTCATTATATTTAGATTGATCCAAAGCGTGCTATTCCTCGCGAAGAACAAGAAAAAACCGAAAAAATCTTTGTAGGGGGCATTGCACCTGAAGTTACTGAAGAAGAGTTTAAGGAATATTTTTCGCAATTTGGTCATGTCATCGATGCTACTCTCATGGTTGATCGTGACACTGGCAGACCTCGTGGATTTGGTTTTATCACATTTGATTCTTCTGAACCTGTAGAAAAAGCGATGAACCGACAGGATTTGGAAATTCGTAATAAACAGGTAATGTTTTATCTACTCTATAGACTTCTCAAATATATATACCTACTCACATATAACTACATATGTTCTTAGATTGAAGTGAAACGTGCGATGCCTAAACACAAATCACAACGTGTACAAACACTGTACAGTCAGCAGAGTTATGGATCATCATCATCTGCGTCTGCAGGAATGATGACATCGCCGGCTAGTTCGGCTAATAGCAGGTACGATTTTATATAGTTTTTGGTGGTGACAAAAAAGGAAACATTAAGTATGGAAAGTTATAACACCATTTAATATATTAGTTACGGTGGTTATGGTCAATATTCTAATTACGGTAGTTACGGAAGTAATTATCCTAGTGGATACCCTTATAGTGCAATGACTCATGCATATTATTCTTCAAGGTAATTAATTTTTTAATGTCATTTTATTCGTTATACCACGGTTAACTAAAATATAATAATTGTATAGATACGGAAATTATGGCAGTCAATACGGCAGTGGAGGTGGCGGTTACGGTGGATCTGGAAGTCGTGGTGGATCTTATGGCCAATGGTACGGACGTGATGGTTATGGATCTGGTCCATCTTCGACTGGAGGTGCTTCTGCATTAGGTGGTCCAAGTTCAAGCAGTCGTCTTGGGGGTGGATATCGCCATTCCCCCGGACGTGATGATGGTTACGGTCGAGATCATCATCATCATCATGGTTCTCCAATGTACGGCAGTCGAGGTGGTAACTCACGAAGCGGTCCTACACGTTCTTATTCGTCGATGAATGCAAGTGGTACTGGTGCGCTGTATAGCAGTCATAACGTTCGAGGACAACACAATTATCACCCTTATGCTCGGTGAAGATGTTCCAAGTAGTGATTGTGGTCGATTAAAAACTTATAAGTTTAGTCGAGTCGATAATCTTGACACGGCTAAGCCGGCTATTATCTTAAAAAAAAAACAAAAAAAAAAATAAATCTGCCAATAATAAATTACAATTGGTGCTGTCTAAATGCATAGATCCGTGGAAATACATTCTATGCATTTAGACAGAATATGCAGTTAGAGGTATATTCATATTTGTGTGACACAAGAATTATTCAATAATATTTTAGCAAAATTCTTTTATCAGATTACATGAACAAGTTACACAATAAATAACAAATTAAAATTTATTTTTTATTAAATATATATTAATACAATAATTCATATTCATTTTAAAATCCTTTAGTATATTTCAAAAGGTCTAATTTATTAATACATCTTTATTTTATTGTAAATAAATTGATTGTCAAATAATAATAATCAATGTAATAGTGACGCTAAAATTGTTCCCGTATTCTTATAAATAAAAAAAAATATATAAAATAAAATTGAATGGCCACAAATCCGGTAAAAAAATGGTAGTTGCATATTCAACGTCTGAATTGAAATTGCAAATGATAAATCCAACTTGTGTAAATAATAACTCCTGACACAAAACTAGTAAAATATATACATACCGATATATCGATCCATATGAATATGTATTAGAAATAAAT